TGGTGGGGGTGGTGTGATGTGTTTACTCAAATGGGGGGCCATGGTGTGGGTGGTGGGATGTGTCTCCTCAATGGGGGAGCCATGTGTGGGTGGTTGGATGTGTCTACTCAAATGGGGAGCCATGGTGTGGGTGGTTGGATCTGTCTACTCAAATGGGGAGCCATGTGTGTGTTGTTGGATCTGTCTACTCAAATGGGGAGCCATGTGTGGGTGGTTGGATCTGTCTACTCAAATGGGGAGCCATGGTGTGGTTGTTGGATGGGGCTATCACATGATACACAGGGGTGGGGCTATCACATGGTACACGCATGGGGATATTACGTGGTACACATGGGTGGGGCTATCACGTGGTACACAGGGTTGGGGTTATGTCTTAGTACACAGGGGTGGGGCTATCACTTGTTAGGTGTGGACTTAATATGTGTGCACTTGTTAGGTGAGCACTTGTTAGGTGTGCACTTGTTAGTTGAGCACTTGTAAGGTTTTTACGAGAAGAAATTATTTTCATGCACCTTTTAAGGTATTTGAAGGGATTTGTAATCTACAATCATTAGCTGAGTTGAATATCAATGAAAAGGGGAGTTGGCCTAAAGGTTATCACATGCTGATGGCGTCTTATTTATAAACAAAAACATTGCTACTAAGTATAGAACATTGGTATGTCTTGTAAAATTTCCAGGGGTGATTTACATTATCCTATGGCATAACAGTATGGTTTATCTCAACAGCCAAGGGAGTGACACAATTGTTAAACACAAAAGAAAGAGGTGTAACATCACCATCAAACCCATTTCATTAGCTCCACTTTTCCTTACAAGACACACTGACCCCCCCCCACAAGACACACTGACACCATTACAAGACACACTGACACATGTTTTAGTTACTCTATTTTCCGATGTTCTAACATTTAACTAAGTAGTAACAATTAACTGAGTCATCATACTCTGATAAAATCTAAACGATTATTTCCTCTTGCTTCCCTGCCAGGCCTGTGTGTGTGTGTGAGGATTAAGCGATGTCCACGGGCTCCTACGACGAGGCATCAAATTTGGTCAAGGTTCCACCATCCCCTCTACTGGCTGGAGAAGGCGCCGACGACGACGTTTTCGACAAGGTAGATAACTCAGGAGCTCAATCAAATGATAACGGTGAATCACATGACCAGAGCAAGTTCTCGTCCTTACACCCCACTAAAGGAAGCCGTTCTCCATCTCCTAAGCACAGTCCTTTCAAGAAATCTAAAGCCGCCAAGGGACTAGGGTTCCTCATCAAAGCCAGGGAAGGGGCAAAAAAGGGCAAGAAGTCTCCGTTGTCATTCAAATCTCTCTCTAAATCCAAGAAACATCGTGATGACGACGGTGACTTTGATGACCTTGGATCTGAGGAAGGGGGAGAGTGTTCGGTTGATGAGAAGGTGAAGGCCAAGTCTGAACACTGGCAGGCGTTTCTTCAAATGCAAGATCGCATCAAAGAGAATGTACTTAAAACACAGACAAATATAGGGAAGCTGGCATCGGGACGCATTTCCCCATCTGGAAGAATATCGCCTGGTAAGAACAGGGAGGAAGATGAAAGTAATATTAAGTTTACAAGTTTGAGCCAAGAAGAAAATGTGCCATCGGATAAAAGTACCGAAGAAAAACATTTAAGAAGACTCCCTAAATCAGAAGAGAGCTCTGAGAATAGTGGCAATTATTACGACACTTCTGATCTTTCCAACCTCATATCTCTCCCTCAATTCACTGTATCATCTCCATCAGCATTTCAGACCGGCAGCTCAGAGACAGACACAAGATTTGACATGGATCTGGACAGCTCAGAGACAGACACAAGGTTCGACATGGATCTCGACGACTTTGCTGATCTTCGTACCTCAGAGAATCACCGCAATGCTGCAGTGAGCGGCAAAAAAACTGAGGCCACCAACTTAATTGATGAGTTTGACCTGCTGGGACTCCATTCGGACTCATTCCCACCCCCTATCTCAAACAGCCACCACATGTCAGCTCAGAGCTCCCTCAATGAAGACTTACTTGGTTTGGATGATTTTTTGTCCCAGCCAGTGTCTCGAGATATGTCTCAAGAAAATTTAACCACTGATTGGTTTGGGGGCTCGTCCACGGCCCAGAGCAGTGCCCAGTCATCCTTGTGTCCGAGCCCTGTCCAGTTTGATATTGATTTGTTGACCAGTCAAGGAAAGCTTGTTCCAGAGAGTACCGCCGTGTCTGATCTCGCCAGGTCTCTGGTAGATGACTTCCTTCAGTGGGGGGCGGGCAAGTCCGATGAGCCTCTGTCCAAAAATCCATTTTCATCAGATGATTTCACAGATGAGCAAGCCTTAAAGATGAATGCTTTCAACCCGTTTGCTACCATTGTAGAGTCCGATGACATCGACTCTAATGACTTCCTGGGAGGTTTCAATGAACCCAAACTTCCAGCCTGGTCAGCCGTGCAGGACAAAAGACATGACCCCTTCCAAACAGAAGATAACCATGCCATGGAAGCCATGGCAGCCTTCACAACAATAGACCCATTTGCCCCACCCCCGACCCAAACTACTGGGATTCCTTCAGCTGGCCTGGACATTAATGCTAACGCTGCCCCATTTGAATCTGCTGCTGTGCCACCTCTAAGGCCCGCTCAACCTACTCAAGCCAGGAAGTCCTCTAGGAAATCATCCAATCCGTTTTTGATTAATGATGATGACTTAACTGATGGAAAATTCGATGACAACTTTTTTGCGAGTCGTGGTATTTTTCATGCCCCTGCTCGGGACGCTGACAGTATTTGGGGAACAGTAAGTTCCTCTGAAACAAAATCAACCGGCACATCCTCGGCTCTGGCAGCCAATCCATTTCAAGATGATTCCTTCACTACAGACAACATTCCTACTGGCCCGGGTTTTGCAGACAGCTTTGGTCAGACATCCACCATTGGTCAGCCCATAAACCCTTTCCTAACTGCCAGCTTTGAAAACATAGCCATCCAGGCACAGCCTCTGTCCGGTGATAACCCCTTCGCAGCCATGGTCAGTGACAAGAGCCCAGCTCTGAGCCCATTACCGAGCCCAGGTCATAGTGCCTCACACACTTGTGCTCTCAGTTCTCACTTGGGTGTTGACCTTGATGTCACACAAATTCCAGATTCAAATGTTTCTGCTGGCGATGATTTACAGTTTGATCCCCTCAATAAACCAGAAATAATAGAAAGTCTGTTTGATGACCCCACTGGTGACTTTCTGGGAACCGCTGCAATCGCCACAGATTTCCAAGGCCATAGGGACACAACCCAGGTGGCCACTGTTCAATCGGAAGAGGATTTCACCGGCGCCTTGAGATTTGACATAAAAGAAAAGTCTGAATCAGACCCGTCTGGTCCGGTGCCCACCTTACCTCCACCACCCCCGAAGCCTCCCAAATCACCCTCGATGCCTCAGAGAGAAAATCCTTTCAACAAGGAATCCCCCCCGGAGGAAAACTTTGCCAGCTTTGCGGAGGTAGAAGAAGAGCTGAAGAAGAAAGCAGAAGCGGAAGCCGCTGCAGTCAGGGAGAAACGGGAACGTATGAAGTCTCTGACATCAGAAGACAGCACACCAGAAGATGATGGACCTTTGGAACCCTTAGAACTTTTCCACCCGACACAAGCAAAAGAGTTCTGGAAGCTAATGGTGAGGCAGCCCACCAAGAAGAAGTTGGCCGGCAACAGGTTCTGGAAGATGACGATAGTTCGAATATGTCAAACCAAAGATGGGCCGGTCATACGGTTGTTTATGGAGGAGAAAGACACAGATCCCTTCCAGGTAAGAATTTAGTTCCGTGGTCTCCAAACTTAAGGTTACTGTACCCCTCCATTTAAAAAAGACTCCCAAATGATGTCCAGCTGCTTGGAAATAAACCTTTAGTACCAGTAGTGGTGACTTGTGTAAGTTAAAGGATGCGGTGCCACTGAAATCTCTAATGTCTACCAGGGAGAATCTTTTGTTACTCCCCTGCAATACTGCCCCATGGCTGCTTACAAATCTACTTGAAGATTTTTGGAATAGTAACTTTTATTTACATCCTTAATTATTTTCAATTGTATGTTGTGAAGAATATTTGGAGATTTTCATTATGTTAACATCTAGGATATGTTTACTATCTGGAACATTTTTACTATCTAGGATGTATATACTATCTAGGATGTGTTTACTATCTACAATGTGTATACTATGTGTTTGATATCTCTCACTGCTCTAATATTACCATCTTCAGGAACTGCCTCTTCAGCCATGCTATTCTATCAGTGATATCTCAATGCAGCAATATGATCAGTTTGGTAAGATCCACACAGTCAAGGTGAGTAGCCGCCATCTTTTGTAATATTACTTTAATGGGGATATTTTGAGTGGCTAATCTGTTAGAGATTATTTTTATCCTTGAGAAAGTGTAGCAGTTCCATTTGACCTAAACTGAATATATTATGTCCTATGTTCAAATCATAGTTTATGTTATGTTGTATGTTCAAAGCATAGTTTATGCCATATGTTCAAAGCATAGTTTATGTTGCATGTTCAAAGCATAGTTTATGCCATATGTTCAAAGCATACTTTATGTTGTATGTTCAAAGCATAGTTTATGTTTCATGTTCAAAGCATAGTTTATGTCTATGTTTTTTACAAGAAACTTCTCTTTAAAAAATGAACGTGCTTGTTCCACAGGTTCAATACATCTTCTACAGAGAACGAGTTGGGATCAGACCTGAACGTATTACACCCTCATTTGTTCGTAAGCCCAAGCCAAACATGATTTTGGACCATGCGCCGCAGGTGTCTGAACTGATAAAGCTGGGCAGCCTTGACATTGACGAGATAACATCATTCGTCTGGGCCATGGAGGACGTGCTGATGAAGCTTGAGTGCCACAGGGATAAGACCTTGACCTACACTAAGGAAGAAGTTCAGGCTGAAGTCTGGGATGAATACCAGGCTGTTGTCGATAAGGATGGTCATGTTGCTTCTCAAAAAGCTAGGGTTCGAATATTCTTTTTAGCATTCCTAACAGGCATGCCGGCTTGTGAGCTGGGCATAAGTGACAGAAGAAGGAAAGGGAGAGAAGTGGTGGGAAGACATGACATCATTCCTGTTAGGACAGAGGACTGGATACGGATAGAAGATCCAGAATTTCATAATGTGGTGGATCTAGAGACATATGAGCAAACTCACAATATCCGTTTCCATCCACTGGATGCCTGTCAGTTTGAGTTGGTTCGTTTTAGGGTACGGCCTCGGGCCAATCGGGAACTTCCTTTACAGCTGAGAATCACCCAGGTGATGAAAGGACGTCATTTTGAGGTCAGAGTGGATCTCCTGGTCACGGGATACCATGCCTTCAGTAAGAAATGCGGCCAGTTCCCGTGTGAAGATATTGAGGTCCGTATCAAAATTCCAGAAGTGTGGATTTATTACTTCCGTTACGAGAAACGATTTGGTTATGGCTCACTGAAGGCCATGGCCAGAAAACCCGGCAGAATCAAAGGTCTGGAGAGGATCACGATGATGGCCCAGGGACTGCTGACACCCGCCCTTATGGAGGCATCCGTCGGCTCAGCCAAATATGAGCATCTGTACAGATCTGTGGTGTGGAGGATACCCCGGCTGCCCGAGAGAAATCATGGTGAGATCAATACCTTTATTGATTAGTGTTTAATAGCTTTATTGATTGGTGTTTAAACACTGAACATATAAACTTGTAATAGTTCATGAACATTCAAATTAAAAATGTATTTGAACAGTGAACTAAATCAGTTGTTGAGTAATTAAATAATAGTATGGTTGAACTCTGCGATACATAGGATCATGTTTTTCCACAGGAGTGGTGGGGTAGGTCATAGTGATGCCCAGTAGATAATCCACTGCTTACTTTGTAAGGTCAATCTTGGGAGCTACCCCATTTTTCATTCCTGGGGTAAAAGGAGGGAGGGTCCCATGAGATGGCTGGAAGAGCTTTGCTCAGATCATTCCAAATGTAACATTTTCAACTCTGCCATAATATGCCCACAGCATCACAAAGTTAATATTTTTGCAAAGGATATGAAAATAGTATTTAAAAAACATTTTTTCATACAATCACAATTCCACAAAACATATACATTCACAATCACAATTCCACAAAACATATCCATTCACAATCACAATTCTACAAAACATATCCATTCACAATCACAATTCCACAAAACATATTCATTCACATGCACAAATCCACTAAACATATCCATTCACAAGCACAATTCCACAAAACATATTTATTCATAAGCAGAAATCCACAAAACATATCCATTCACAAGCACAATTCCACAAAACATATTTATTCATAAGCACAAATCCACAAAACATATCCATTCACATGCACAAATCCACTAAACTTATCCATTCACATGCACAAATCCACAAAAATATTCATTCACAAGCACAAATCCACTAAACATATTTATTCATAAGCACAAATCCACTAAACATATCCATTGATAAGCACAAATCCATTAAACATATCCATTCACATGCACAAATCCACTAAACATATCCATTCACAAGTACAAATCCAATAAAACTATTCCAACTTCAACACCACTCAAGAGATTTTTAAAAAAATATTCCTCTCTTCCTACTCATTGACAATTCCAACGCTATTCACATGGAATATTTTAAACCCTTCTCTGACATACCAGGGCTATTGACAAATCCAATTATAAGACCCCAATTTTAACATGCTAGCGAGGTTTTACAGTACCATCCAAAAAGTATGTAGATATGTTTTATGAATGAGGCTCTTTGATGTGGTCCAAGTATGCCAACTATTGAAAGTGGGATTGAACGTACATGAACGTTTTTTTTAAACATTTCAAGAAGCTAAAAGATGTATCTCCTGATTTGATCTTTGAGCTATACATTTAGTTCAGTAGTTCTTAACCTTTTTTGGGGTACCGAACCCCACCAGTTTCATATGCGCATTCACCGAACCCTTCTTATTAGGAAAAATAAAATATGATTTTTTTCTGATTTTTGTTGGACCTCCGCCGAACCCCTGAGACTGACTCACTGAACACCTGGGGTTCGATCCCAGGTTAAGAACCACTGATTTAGTTATAGTGTTTTTATGTCTCAAATAAGAAGAGAAGAAAATACTTGAACTTTAATCACTATGAAAACAGTTGAGTTGTAACATAGCAAAAAGTTAATTTTAACAACAGCAGCAACATTCAGATTAGATTATTTATTGTTGAGCTACAATTGCCAGGCATTCAATATTTCATCAGTTTATGGAGACAGGTTTAAACTGGAAGGCATACTACACAGTAATAATACAACGCAATAATCATACTGCACAATAATCATACTACACAATAATCATACTGCACAGTTATAATCACAATAATTTTTAATTTTAAAATTTGCTTCTTTGGTCAACTTAATTTGTCACATTTGGTCCACTTATTTTGTCACAATTAAACATTTTTTAAATTTCTTTTTTCAGGTGCTTATAAAAACCACTTGTTTGTCCTTCACCTTTCCCTGGGTCAGCATGATGAGATTCCTGATCAATTAGAGCAGTGGGCGGACTGCTCCTTCACCATGCCAGCTTCCACAGTCTCCAAGGCACAGGTGCGGTCTATCAGTGTTGAAAACCCTGACCCGCCCGAGAAGTGGGTTCGATATATTGCCAAATACAATTACAGGGTGGAAATTGACAATCATGTGGAGACAGAGTCAGACAGGGAGACAAGTGATTAGTCTCCAATTATTGTGGTCCAATGTGAGGCTCACTTGCCCTGACGGAGCCGAGACTGCTGCTGAAGACATAAATGAAAGCCTTGATAGATTATTTATAAGTCAGTTTGAAAAATATTATCAGTAGTGAGAAAATGTTATGTAATGAATGTTTGATTGGAAAGAAAGTACCAGAACATTTCATGAATGTTTGATTGGAAATAAAGTACTAGCAAATTTAATTACTGTTTAATTGGAAATAAAGTACTATAACATTTAATGAATGTTTGATTGGAAATAAAGTACTAGAACATTTAATGAATGTTTGATTAGAAATAAAGTATTAGAACATTTAATGAATGTTTGATTAGAAATAAAGTATTAGAACATTTAATGAATGTTTGATTAGAAATAAAGTATTAGAACATTTAATGAATGTTTTGATTGGAAATAAATTACTAGAACATTTAATGAATGTTTGATTAGAAACAAAGCACTAGAACATTTTTAGAAATGATATTGTCTGATGGGATGGCTTGCAAATTTGGTCTCATTTTTGTATTTAGAGTTAGACTTACTAGTTTCTCTGAGGCATTGATATGAGGGTCATTTGATTTGAAGAGATCATCATTCAGATTTCTCATTTAAAAAGCTATTATTTACAAACGCACCAAAATATTGGGTAGCACCCGATGGTACCAATTTGAGTACACCATTTCACCATTATTTGTAAACATCAAAAGGACTATAAGTGTTGTGTGACAGTTAAACACATCAGCAGTGCGCATCTAAATAAAATATAGACTTTATAATTGGACACTTATTAAAATAGACAGAGATTATGCAAATTCACTTTATTGTTACACTCATTAATGAACAAGTATATCTAGACTAAACACTTGCCCACAATAATTAAACACATTCATTAAACACATTAATTGAATACTTTGAACTGGGCAAGAAATAATAATAGCTAACACATAATTATGTCAATTTTTTTTTTTTTTATCATTGTGCAGAGAGGTTGAAAAAATATAGTGTTTAGCAACCTTTGCCCTTTCAGAGAAATGCATTTTAAAAGTAAATTGCTCAAGCTCCACTACAAAAAAAATCACTTAATGTTTGGTGTGCTTGTGGATCAAAGTAAAAGAGATATTGCAAAGAGCACATTAAACACTCTGGTAGCTTGGATCAAAGTAAAAGAGGTGATGCAAAGAGCACATTAAACACTCTGGTAGCTTGGATCAAAGTAAAAGAGGTGATGCAAAGAGCACATTAAACACTCTGGTAGCTTGGATCAAAGTAAAAGAGATATTGCAAAGAGCACATTAAACACTCTCGTAGCTTGGATCAAAGTAAAAGAGGTGATACAAAGAGTACATAAAACATTTTGATTATTTCCTTATTAGGCCAACTGATTCATGAACTTAAAATGTGATATGATTTTTTTTTATTTCTGATTGTATTTATTTTGTTAAATTTAAACTTAATTTTAAAACCTTTTTGATATTTATATATGTTTGAAACTAAGTATTGTAATTTTTACCTCCATATATTTCAAATAATTTTTTTATTAAGTATTATAACAAACATTTGAATTCAGATGTGGTTATAATTTTTGTTTTAACTAAGATGGATCATATAATTTTTTTAAAATAATCAAATAGTTACCTGCAATCAAACCTTTGAGCTCTGTTTATTTTGTTTATAATTTTCAGAATCAAAAAATATTTAACAACAAACTAAACAAACAATAAAACACACTCATGCTGACTGAGATGTTTCAAGGCAAGTTCAGATGCTATTTTTAAATTGGCTTCACTAATCATGTAACTATAATATACATTACTTGTAAAATTTTAGCTTCAATTTCTTCAAAATACTTTTTATTCTCATACTTATATACCATGATCTGATCTAACTGTGGGAATAGTCCTATGTGCAGACACATCGATCTAACTGCCGGTATGGGAATAGTCCTTTGTGCTGACACATATAGTCCTCTGTAAAGACACATATAGTCCTCTGTGCAGACACATAAAGTCCTCTGTGCAGACATATGCCTCTAACTATGAGAATAGTCCTCTGTAAAGACACATATAGTCCTCTGTGCAGACACACATATTTCTCTGTGCAGACATATGCCTCTGACTTTACTATGCATATCCAGATTTTATATTCCAGCTTGAAAATTTGACCACATTGCATCAAACATCATACATCAAACATCATACATTCATTTTTAAATGTTCAAGAAGACATATTTAGTGATTAAACATATCTAACCTGAATTTCTTTAGTTTACGGGTTCTTAATTTTAACATGATCTGCTTTTTTTCACTGTATTTTGATTTGAATTTTTTGTAAGGTTACTTTTTCTGTTGCTCAATTTGTTGAAATATTTAATTTCATTTTGATATTAGGTTAAATTTTGTTGAGGCCAGTTTCGTTGTGGCTGGTTTTGTTGCATCCAACAGTCATTAGGTGGCTAGTTTTGTTGCATCCAACACTTCATTAGGTGGCTAGTTTTGTTGCATCCAACTCTTCATTAGGTGGCTAGTTTTGTTGCATCCAACACTTCATTAGGTGGCTAGTTTTGTTGCATCCAACTCTTCATTAGGTGGCTAGTTTTGTTGCATCCAACTCTTCATTAGGTGGCTAGTTTTGTTGCATCCAACTCTTCATTAGGTGGCTAGTTTTGTTGCATCCAACTCTTCATTAGGTGGCTAGTTTTGTTGCATCCAACACTTCATTAGGTGGCTAGTTTTGTTGCATCCAACACTTAATTAGTCTAATGGAACAGTAATTATTTACTTTTGTTTTTGCATGTTATTATTTCTTGGACAGCTCATCATATTGCCGGAATGTAAAAGAGGATATTAAAGTCATTGTTTTTTTTATGTTTAGAAATCTGACCAGATGAAGCCAAATGGCCTTATCTGACTTTCTGTTTGATCCCGCACCTCAAGTTTAAATGCCAGTAAAATATGTTCCGTGACTCATGATGTAGAAAATCTGCCAGTCCATCGATTAAAATCTGGCTTTATGACTTAATATTTAAATATTATAAAGCAACTAAGTTTTACCTTGTTTAGTTAGTGGTATTTTGATTAAAATGTTCCACTCTGGTTTAAGAACAATTAACAAAGAAGGTAATGGAGAGACTTTTCATCAGATTGTTTTGTTTTTTTCTTAGGACAAACTCATAAATTTTCAATCGTATCAATGAACATATAATTTATTTTTTTAAATTAAAGAATGAAATATTTTAAGACACAATTTTAAGGTTGCATCATTGTTAAATGTTAAATAAAATCTGAAATAACTGTACAATTGTATTTAAATATTTTGTTGACTTTTTTTTTTCACTTGCGCTATATTTTTCTTACATATCAGAGCATAATCTTTCTTTATTTATCACACAAAAACTTTTTCCTATTTATATTTAAACAAGTTTATAACATTTATATACCTGTATACATTTCTGCAATTTAATAAGAGATGGCTCTTTTTATTCTTTTATTAATAAGAGATGGCTCTTTTTATTCTTTTATTATTTGTCTTTTGTTTTTATTACAGTCCTCCTACAATTTAATTTTTCCACGTTAAATGGCAATATCCTGAAAATTGCATGTAGGGTAATTCTTGTAGCATACCGTAGAAAGGACACATTTTTTGTGGGGTAATTCTTGTAGCATACCGTACAAAGGACACATTTCTTGTGGGGTAATTCTTGTAGCATACCATAGAAAAAAGACATTTTTTGTAAATTTAAAAAATAATAAGGATTTATACAACTTTACAGAGTCCTGCAGGACTTTTCAAATCTGTGTTACACTAAGTTACAGTGCTAAATAATACTCTAGTATTGGAGAAATCATATGTGCAATATATATATATACATACCCCTAAGGTTACGACCACATTTCATTAATATTTTAAGAACCTAGCATTGTTTTGTGTATACTCATTATCAAACTTTTTAATATCATTTGATCAAAGCTTTGCTATGAATTAACTATCAAAAAAATTAATGATAAAGTTAATAACATTATTTGACATATAAAGTCATTTTTATGTTTTCTAATGATCTGCAGTATAATAAGATTGCAATGACTTATAACCTGATGTGAGCTAAATGATCTCCCATGTATTTGATGTGCAGAGAATAATTGTATTACATCTTAAACTGGTCAGTTGAAATGTTGAGGATGTCAAACAATGGCTTCTACCAATAACATGATTAAACATCATTCCTTGCCAGTGTGCATGTTATCTATACATTGTTAGGTCTATATAAGGAAGTTTACAAGTTTACATATCCTATAATTAGTCTCATATCATCAACCATATTCTTACAAGGCTTCGATCAGCTGACTGAACCACACATCAGAAGTAGGAGAAATATTCATGTACCTACTCAAAAAAAAAAAATCTGACTCAATGCACATAAACAGTTTGATTATGTAAAAAATCAATTTGTGTGAGGCTGTGAGTCAATACACATAAACAGTTTGATTATGTAAAAACTCAATGTGTGTGAGGCTGTGAGTCAATACACATAAACAGTTTGATTATGTAAAAACTCAATGTGTGTGAGGCTGTGAGTCAATACACATAAACAGTTTGATTATGTAAAAACTCAATGTGTGTGAGGCTGTGAGTCAATACACATAAACAGTTTGATTATGTAAAAACTCAATGTGTGTGTGAAGCTGTTATTTACACAGCACAATGTGATTACTTGAGTTTGTGATGACAATATTCATTGATATTATTTTGTGCTGGCACCACTGGAAAGATCAAAGCTTGAATGCGTCACTCTTCTTTGTAACAATTTGAATGCGTCACTCTTCTTTGTAACAATTTGAAAGTGTTACTTTTCTTTGTAACCATTTCAAATGAATTTGTTAATGTTCCCCTCAGTGATTGACATCGTTATTTACATTCTTGTGTTTTCACTTTTCATCTGACTTCAATGTCATCATGTTTATATTTATATCACAAAGACAACATACCGTATTAAATGTGAATAATCATTGAAAGTTTGATTAACCGAGAGCTAATGTACGAATTTTTATCTTTATAACAGTTCATGGTTTCCTTTCTGTTTGGCATGTATGCAAGCAGGATCAGATTCTCATTAACAG